TTCTAACACTCTTTGGGATAATGCTTTGTTGTGATCCACGGGGTTTTCACTGGCTAGTTTTTTGGAGCTAGATCTCTAGTCATTTCTTCCTAGTCTGAAAGTTCCAGTGAAACCTATCCACCATAGGTGGTCTTGCTGGACACCAGTGGCCTAGCTTCCAGCATCATAGCAATGTGAAAGCCACCACTGTATTACTGACAGAGACTAATAGAGACTGACAGATGGGTGGTGATCATACACTATCATCTCAAGGAATTGTAACTTTTTATGAACGATGAGAGTCCCTCACCTTCTCCTTGCCAGAGGAATTTATTCTTGCGTTGTCTACTTATAAGTAGCATGTGCACTTTTAAAGAAGATAGTGTGTGTTCCCACTGAAGCTAATATCACTGAACTCTTGCCTCAACACCGAGTCTCTTCAAAAGGCAAATGCCTTCATCATGTCTTCCCCTACTATCTGATATCTTACACTGTGCTCAAATCTAATGGGATTTAGCCAGGATTTGTCCAGTAATATCATTATCACTATTCTGTCTTGAAAGGGCCCTTGAAATCAACCAATAGTTTCATTATTGCTATTTGCAGGCAAATACTTGACAAATGGTTGTGAATACTCATTGTTATTTTAAAGAAATAATGCTTTAAGATATAGGTCTTCTGACATATAATTTTGAGTCCGAATCAGATTTCAAGAAAGCTGGGGGTGAGGAGAAATATGTATTCTGTATGTATCTGTATACCCACATACACACACACAGAGTCCCTGCGTGGAACAAACAGTCAAGGCTTCTAACTGAAAATTTGGAGGTTCAGGTCTACTCAGAAGTGCCTCGGATGAAAGGCCTGGTGATCTCCTTCTGAAAAATCATTGAAAGTCCTATGGAACACAGTTCTCCTCTAACACACAAGGAGTCACCATGAGTTAGAGCTGACTTGATAGCAAAAGCTGACAAAAACTTGTGGAAAAATATTATTAAGAGATAATAGAATTCCTCCATGAACTTTCTGAAGTTGTGTGTATGTGTGTGTGTGTGTGTGTGTGTGTGTGTGTGTGTATATCTACCCACTACCACCAAGTTGATTCCAACTCATAGCAGAGTACAACTCCCCCATAAGGTTTCCAAGGCTACAAATCTGTATGGAAGCAGACTTCCTTATCTTTCTCCTGCGGAGCAGTTGGTGGGTTCAAACTGCCAACCTTTTGGTTAGCAGACCAGTGCTCAACCCACAGTGCCACCAGGGGGTCCTTATACATATACATGGTAGTGTGAATAATAGGATCAACTGTTGATTGGGAACTCAGAGAAGGTGAAGTGGGTAAGGAGTCTGTAGGCAAAGTGACATCAAAAACAATTATCAACAAAATAATCCTGATTGCTTACTCAGTCCCTGGCAATGATAAAGTACTTCTTTTGAATTAACTCATCCTCACAGCAAACTTAGGAGGTCAGAACTATTATCCCCAGCCTCATTTTACATATCATGAAGATGTAGCGCAAAGAAGGAGCCAAGTCACACAGCTAGGTCACAAAACCCTGACAATCTGCTTATTCTATAGACATGAAAGAAAACCTGGTTCATTGTTTGAACATTTGTATCATGGGATTTGTACCCAATTAGAAGGATGTTGTACAGTAGAGCTTAGGTAACTTAGAGTTCTGGAGAGAGAATGGAACAAAGAATCAAGAGACCAGAGTTCTAACCCATCTCTGCCACCAGTGTGGCCTTGGGCAAGTGATAAATTTGGCTACCCCACACCTGTTTTCTCATCTGTAAAATGGGGACATTGAGTCAGGCAAATGTTTTAAGGTCTCCTGAGCTGTATCCTTCTGTTTGGAGGATGTGAACTTTAGCTCTGTACAGTTGTTGTTGTTGTTATGTGCCATGGAATCAGTTCCGACTCATAGTGACCCTGTACAGGGTTTCTGAGGCTGTAAATCTTTATGGGAGCAGAAAGCCTCATCTTCCTCCTGTGGAACAGCTGGTAGTTTCGAACTGCTGACCTTGCGGTTCGCAGCCCGATTCGTTACCACTATGCTACAAGAGCTCCTTAGCTCTGTACAGTAAGTTGTTGTTGTTGTTATGTGCCATCGAGTCGGTTCCGACCCATAGTGACCCTGTATAGGGTTTCCGAGAGTGTAAATCTTTACGGGAGTAGAAAGCCTCATCTTTCTCCCGCGGAGCAGCTGGTAGTTTCGAACCGCTGACCTTAAGGTTCGCAGCCCGATTCGTAACCACTACGCTACCAGAGCTCGTGAGTTAAATAACTCACACTCCTACTCAGCGAAGGCTGAGAATCTTTGTCAGTGTGTGAATAGGTGTCAGACTGGTGCCAGGGGTCCCTGCTATTAGCAGTTGTGCCAACCTCTCTTTTTGAATACCTATCTCTGTGGGCAGTGGGGAAGACTGCTGAGAATTAATGGGCAACCAATTAGGAAAACTCCCCTGCTAGCACCTCCATTCACACTGAGCATGGGGCTATGAAAGTTTTCCCTGAAAAGCAGCTCTCGAAGTACCATCCAGAAGCATTCATTAGGATGCTGCTTACCAGGTGATAGGAAGGTTAGTGGGACAGGAGACAAAGAACATCTCAAAAGACTCTTTCTTTCATGGGCTTTTCTATCTGCTTCTCATCAAGTATGGCCCAATGCTCTACTTCAGAGCCACCTGGTGGGACATGAAGGTGACTCAACTCCCATTGCCTCCCGCTGATTTATGCTGATTTATGCTGAGTAGGCCTGGCCCTCAATTGCCTTTCTGCTCTTTTCTGTTTCTCCTCTTTCCCTTCTTTGTAGTCCACACAATTGCACAGCTATCTACCCTCAGCTCCAGTAGAACTGGCTTTGACTCTATTACTTCTCATCTCCTCTAGGGCCTTCTTTATCAGTGATTCCCAGTTGTTGAGTAGACCCAGGAGAAGGGAACTGAGCCCAGAACAGTCAGCATTCATCTGCTTTTTAGTCACACTGTAACTCTGATGGAGCAATGTCCTTGAGATCACTTAGATACAAAGGACCAGAATCTTGACTTCTATAACTGTAGGACATCTCTTTTAAATTACTAGTGACTGAACACCCAAAATGATGGGAAACAGAAGATATTTTAGGATGATGACACAAGCTAAGAAGACTGCATGATTTTATGCTGATATATGTGAACTTTAATTGTTGGAAGGAACCCAAAGCTTCCTAGAATAAGAATATTAACCCAAACTTTCACCTGAAACACAAACCTCTTTGTTTTCCTTTAGCTTCTCTTACTGTTCAGCTGTCGATGGCCCAGGTTTCCTGGACTCACCATGTCAAGAACAAAGGCTTCACATTTGTCTTGAAAAGCATCACCAAGCTTCCTAGATACTGACCTTTGTAGCTCTATCAGCTTTCCTTAGATCAGTAGTTGCATTGACTCAGAACAAGTTGGGTAATAGTAGAACTAGAACCCTTCCACCTACTATCCAGAAGGATGGTCTCTTAAATAACACAGCCACTCCATAGAGGAGAATTATCACATATGCAAGATCTTTGGTGTAGGACTCAGTACAGGGGAAAAGATTAATGTATGTCCATTACGAACAAATGAAAACCACAAGTCTGAAAGATCAAGTCTACATTTCTATAGAGAAAAACGGGGGGGGGGGGGGCATAAACGCAATGACATCCTAAAATTCTACAAATACATTATAACGTGAAATAAAATTATATGCATGGCCCAGCCAATTGACAGCCCTGTGATCCTCATCACAATGGCACTAAGTGATTCCAAGCATTTTAGCAAAGCACTAAAGAGCTCACTTTTGGTTTTCCGAGTGCATACCGTGAAAGTACAATGTCCTTCAACTCCTCTGTGTCCTGGGGAGGAGGCAAGCCTGCGGTCGTGGCTGCCAGCATGCTGGGAAACATTACTAACGCCAAGAAATGAAATCGTCAGAGTCTTTGAAAGGCTTCCAGAAATGTCAGCACGCATTGCCTGCCCACTCTCCACTGAATGCCTACTTTGGCTGCCTGCTCAGTACTGAATGTGCCAGACAGGCTTTCACACAAAGAGAGAGAGTGTTTTGGGCCCATGAAAGGGGAAGGCACAGACTTCCAGATGTGAATGGGGAGATTCAAGAAGTAGGTGATAAAGTGGCAGGGTGAAGATGGACCCCCTAGGAAAGCTATGAGTAAGAGACCAAAAGAGAAAGAGTTGGCATCTACTTCCATATTATAAAGTCTTCGTAGCGTCCCGCCATCAAATCTGGATATGTAGACTGCTGTCTCTCTTGATTTTTATGGAAGAGATGCTTACTTGTACATTCCCTCTGTATCCAAGGACTGAGAACAACATTTTTAAGCCTTGCCCCCTCCAAGGTATATATGTTGTTGGTAAGTGCCATCAAGTCGATTCTGATCCATAGCGACCCTGTTTCCAAGGAGCAGCTGGTGAGCTTGAACCACCGACCTTGCAGTTCAAACAACTTTGCAGTCTGACGCATTAGCCTACAGCGCCACACCAGGACTCCCCAAGGTATATATAATATATAAGTGGGCGCATGTTGGCATTTCAACACTGAATGCAAATACTACTTGTGTTAGTAGCTACCTAGGACCTAGACTCTCTTTGCCTCCACTGTAGTGTATCTTGGAATCCATTTTTTCCCCCTTAAACTGGCTTTAAGAAAGGGAGAAAAATGTTTTTGTATACTGAACTGTTCTCTAACTTTTGAACAGTTCTGTTCATAATTCCTTGGCACAGCATCTACTGTAAGAAGAAAGAACTCTTCTGGTGTTTTGCGCTTTTTTCCAAGAAGGCAGTCTGATGTCACTGGTGGCAGACACAGTATGTATGTATCTGTCTTTTGTCTGCACCATCTGTTTTTCTCTTTACAGACTATTGTTCAGAGTTCTCCTTTTCTCGTTTCCAGGAAGTGTGTCTCTCCATAAGAGAGTGGGCTGTAGGTGTGAAAGGGACTGAACTCATTTTCTGACATGATTTCCCTCTTCCTTTCTTTCTAGAATCTTATGGCAAGGGCCTTATACGACAATGTCCCCGAGTGTGCTGAGGAGCTGGCCTTTCGCAAGGGAGACATTCTGACTGTGATAGAGCAGAACACGGGAGGACTTGAAGGATGGTGGCTGTGCTCTTTACATGGGAGGCAAGGCATCGTTCCAGGCAACCGCGTGAAGCTTCTGATTGGTCCTATGCCGGAGATCCCTGCTACTCAGGAGCAGCCTCCTTCTGGACTGATACACCAGACCTTTGGTCAACAGAAGCTCTATCAAGTGCCAAACTCACAGGCTTCTTCTCGGGACACCATCTACCAAGTGCCACCTTCCTACCAAAACCAGGGGATTTACCAAGTCCCTACTGGCCACGGGACTCTAGAACAAGATGTGTATCAAGTGCCACCATCAGTGCAGAGGAGCATTGGGGGAACCAATAGTCCCCACTTAACTAACAAGGTGAGTAAGTGACTAACTGAATTTTTGTTCTACTGATTTTGTTCCATTGTACTTGGAGCAATGGACATGTTCCCAAAACAATTACTTGGAACTGCCAAGAAGTAAATATATCTAGTACCCTAGCATGAGTATCATTTTTTCCATTCATTCAGTCAATAAAAAACTTGCCTTAACTCCCACCATGTACTAGATACTGTTAATTCACAACCATTATAAGTTCCTGTGTCATCTGGATCATTAAGCTCTTGTCTTCCCTTCTTCCTAAAGGATCTTCTTTTAGACCCAGGCTCTGTGTACAAAGAGTTTCCAGTCTTTTCTCTTTCTTCCTTGAATACATCATTGTGTTTATGCAAAATGTGGTGCCAAAGCTGAATCATGATCCCATTGGTCTGGCTTGACAAAGAACCCACAAGAAATAGAGAAAGCAGTTCATGCTACTGTATATCTTATGGGGTCACCCTAAGTTGGCAGGCTGATTCATCAATAGCTAACAACAACAACATAATGTCAGTAGAGATTAAGTGTTGTAAAGAAAATATTATCAGTGCAGATATGGTTAGTAATACCAGAACCAAGATGATGCTTTTATGTTAAAAGTTCAGGGCAATTCTGTCATTTACTGTTAAATTCCAAAGGCCTAGAATGAGTTCTGCAATACTTGTTATTGAGAGTTGCCCACCGGCTACTCCTCAGAAACCCTAAACAAGGTCTCTGTGAGTCAGAACGGACTTGACAGCACTTAACAACAATAACAACCAGTTGCCAAGGAGCCCTGGTGGCATAGTGGGTTAAGCATAGGTCTGTTAAACACAAGGTCATCAGTTCAAACCCAACAGCCACTCTGCAGGAAAGAGATGAGCTTTTTGCTCCAGACTGTGGTTATCAGTTGTCATTGAGTTGATCCCCAAGTGTCTCTGACTAGATCTGTTCTTCACTGGGTTTCCGTGGCTGTATGGTGCTGCGGGTTAATGCTCTGGACTGCAAAGTCAGTTTGAACATCAAGGTTGGTGGTTCAAATTCACCAGCCACTCCTTGGAAATCCTATACAGGGTCGCTATGAATTGGAACTGACTTGATGGCACCTAACAACAACAACAAATCTTTACAGAAACAGATTGTCAGACCTTTTACTACACAGAGCCACTTGTTGTTGTTGTTGTTGTTGTTAAGTGCCATCGAGTCGGGTCCGACCCATAGCGACCCTGTACAGGGTTTCCGAGGCTGTAAATCCTTACGGGAGTAGAAAGCCTCATCTTTCTCCCGCGGAGCGGCTGGTAGTTTTGAACCGCTGACCTTAAGGTTCACAGCCCGATTCGTAACCACTACGCTACCAGAGCCACTAAGAGGGGTAGAACCTCCAACCTTTCCATAAAGTGGTCCAGCACTTTAATATCATAAAAAAAAATCCCTGAATTACCAGAGGAAAGATGCAACTAGATACTAGATAGAGCTTGCTCTTTGAACACTAAATGTAGATGTGCTGTGCCTGAAGCAATTCTAATACAAACTCTGAATTTACAAACACAGGCAAATTAGGAGATAGCTTTTTGCATGATAATAAATCCTCTGGTGGTTGGGGGTGGTGAGATTTAGGGGGTCAGATTCCTTTAAATAGCAAAACCACAAATGCATTTTCAAATCCTCCTTAATATAAAAAGCATGTGTTTTCTCCAATAAACAAGTGTTGCACAATGGGAGTGTATGTATATTAGGAAGAATTCCTGAAGAAGCCTTAGTAGTTTTCGGACTTGCATTGCCTAAGAAAATGATCTCTGTCTGGAGAAGATAATGCCTTGACCTTTCAAAGTCTTTCTTACGGGAGTGATGTTAGATTCAAGGGGAAAATCAAGCCCAGTCTCTATCTCCAGAGGGAAAAACAACAGTTGGAAGGTGCAACTATAAATAACTTCTTTCTTTATTTTTGTCCTGGATGTTTGCACCTTAAAAATAGCTCTCTCTCATCCATCTGAACTAGTATGCACAGACTGTGGAGGCCTGAACAGGAAATGCTTGGCTGAAAGGTGGTGGGCTCTAAGCTTTCATCACAGTTTTCTTTGGCAAGAAGGTGACATGTTTGCCTTTTCAGACTCAACCTTTTCAGTTCCAAGTCTGAAAGTCTAAGACTCCAGCTTTCTTCTCATTTGATTTGTCGTAGCTGCTCCGCAGATTCTCTCCTTGGCTCCACCTTGTTAGAGTGGAATGAGTTTGACACAGCTTGTCTGGGATTTATGATGCTCAAACTCAGTGGGTTTTTGTTTCATTGGTTGGGTTTTATTTGTTTTGTTTTGGCTTTCATTCTAAATTCGGCAGAATGTTCTGTGTTCTGTGATTCCTGTAAACCCACTTCGGTCAAACTAAATTCCAAATCATAGCGACCCTACAGGAAAGTAGAACGGGCCCATGGCACTTCCAAGCCTGTAATCTTTACAGAAGGAGGCCTGGTGTGGCACTGTGGGTTCAAGTGCTGAACTGCAAAGTCGGTTTGATCCGCTAGGTCGGTGGTTCAAGCTCACCAGCTGCTCCTTGGAAACCCTATACAGGGCCCCTATGGGCAGAATCGACTCAACAGCACTTAACAACCAACAATAACAATCTTTACAGAAGCAGACTGCCATATCACTCTCCCTTGGAACAGCTGGTGGCTTAGAACAGCTGACTTTTTTGTTAGCAGCCAAGCGCTTAACCACTGCGCTACCAGGGCTCTTAGTGATTCCTATAGGAGGAAGCAAAGTTCTGAAAAGGACCTCTGTTATTTCTTACCTGGGAATACACCAGGAACTGGGGAGGAGGCAGTGCCTAGAGCTCTGGGCTGTGAGCACTCAGGGTCTGAGACAGGGTCTGAGGTAGTCCATGTAGTGAGGATGAGGAGGGTTCATTGTCCTGGCTCTACCCCTGCCAAACACCAGACAATGTCCAGATGATGATGACTTCATGGTGAGAACCATCTTAGTGCCCCAGGTGCTTGGCACCACTGGACCAACGGCTCACACCCCCACTGGAGGGATTCTGGCCCCTCCTGACCTTCTTTCTTCCTTCTCTCCTCCCTCTCTCTCCCTCCCTTTTTTTCAACCTCTCCCTTCCTCCTTCCTTCCTTTTTTTTGTTTCTTCAATAGTAGGTATGGTTTGACCCCTATGAGGTGATTTTTAACTTTCTAGGAGATAGCAGCTGCTTCAGAAACTTGTACCAATATCTTCCTCCATGTAGCTTTCTGACTCAAAGGTCTTCTCAGTAGGTGAGACCCACACCAATGACTTAAACCAGGGTCCCAAGGGAAGAGTACTCTCAATGCAGTGAGGGCAGTCAAGTTTCGGAGCTCTCACTCTAACGGTTTTATTGACTTGCCCCATAGCCCTTTGCTCATTTTCACTTCTCATTTCAACTCTGTAAAACAGGGTGACTCCAGAGCTAGATGTTCTCGGTAGTTTATGTGGTGGTCCTTAAGGATTCAAGAAGAAAATGAGGATCCCATGGAATCTTGTTCTGAAGTGTGAATCCAAGAATCATTCAGAGCAGGAGGGATGGCCTGATTTAAATGCAGATTCCCAGGACATTTCCTGCCAGATTCTAATTGGGTTGGTCTGGGCTTGGGGCTGCAGAATGTGCATTTTAGTCAGCTCCTTGGAGAATTCTGGGAAAGATGGTCCAGGACCACACTTTGAGAGATGATATAAAAGGACCGTGAAGAGAGCTGGATATGCTCCAATCTGATGGTGATTTGGGACTTTCCATAGCTGAAAAATCCCTCGATGTTGCTACAGACTATGGACTTCAGAAGTATAATCCACCAGAGTTTTTTCTATTAATGAATCATTGAGTAGGGAGTGGAGGGTGGGGGAGAGAATGAATTCTGCCTTCTAGCAATACGTTCTATTGCTTCAGCTTTGCTCTCTGGGAGACTCCAGCCTCTACCCACCCTCCTGTCTCCAGATTAGCTTACATTCATCAGTTATTAAATCAGCAGTTAGAGGGAAATAGTCATATAGTCCCCCACCCTTTTATGAAATGAGAAGACAAACGAGTGTTGTAAAAAGAGCATGGGTTTGGGAGCTCCACAGATTCTTGGTTCTGTTTCTTCATAGCTGTGTAATCCTCAACAAGTCACTTCTCCTAACCTTGGAATCTTCATCTGGGAAATGAGAATAATCATTAATGACATCATCAGTGATGTCATTCAATGAAACAATCTATAGAAAGTGCCTGGCATCGTGCTTAGCACAATTTTGTTGCTGCTGTTAGCTAGTGTTGACTTGGAGACGTCGTGCACAACAGACTAGAAACAGCCTGGTCTGTACCAACCCCATGACCAGTTCTGCAGATCCCACCAGTATGATCCATATGGTTTTCAATGGCTGAGTTTTGGAAGTAGATTCCCAGGTCTTTCTTCCAAGTCCATCTTAGTCTAGAAGCTCCACTGAAACCTATTTAGCATCACACAAGTCTCCACTGACAGGTGGGTGGTTCCCACATGAGATGCACTGGCTGGGAGTTGGACCTGGGTCTCCTTCATCAGTGAGAATTTCACCACTGACCCACCAATCCCTCAGGCTGAGCAGAATAATGGCTTGAAAAATATTCGTTCCTCCCACCTAATTTTCTTTCCTTTCTCGGAGTTTATTTTGAATCTCATCAGCCCTGTTTATGTTTCTTACTATATATCAAATACCCTTGTACTCTAGTGCTATTGCATAGACTGCGCCCTTTGAGTGTCTAGATATCACTTTGGTCCTACAAGAGTTTTGCACAGAGTGAAAAAGAGCTCTTATAGTTATCTGGAAATCATCTCCACCGACACCTTTACTTAATTTCATCGGTCTTTTTCACTCTGGGTTTTGTATGCAGAGCCGTTTTATCCATTAGACATTATAGGCAGAATGCCCAGGGCCTAGAAGTATGTTTTGAGAGCTGTATTAAGAAACTTTTGGCTCAAAAATATGAAGCAGAAACACTGTGAAATAGAAATTAATAAACACTGAAATAAATGTCTATGAAGCAACATCAT